TTACTTGTATTCTGCTCTGTAAGATATGTGTTGTTGGTTTGTGTTGTTTTTTTTTCCTTTCCTCCCCATTAAGGAGAGTGTCATCCTCTAACCATTTTCACGACTGGTTTTGTATCCTACCTATCAGAAAAATGAAGATTTTTCTGTAGGTGAAGGAGAGAAGAATAAGCAGGCAGGCTGTAGAAATGTAATTGTTGTTCAAAGACAAACAAAAGGGTAAGCAGTTGGGTCCTAGGAACAATTAATGTCTTCCTTTTGGTATGGATTGAGTTAAATACTGCCTTATGCTTTCACTTCAGCAAGTGCCATCTCCTGGGGGAAGCTTCTTCCCCTAAAAGGGAAGAGGTCTACTCTGTGACTTTCACAAAGACCTTTCAGTGAGAAAAATCCTGTTTGCCTGTGGTGTTGAATGTGCAAATTCTATTTAACAGCATCAATAAGGTGAATTGTGGGTGATCTGTCAGTGAAGATTCACGAGGATTTAATGAGAGCTCTCAGCTAAGAGTTTTTCCTCCTGTGTGCTAGATGTTGGGAAGTTTCATACTAAGATTCCCTACTAGGGAGTCTTGGTTGGTTTTCATGGATGCAGTCATTGCCTTGAAGTTATGTTGAGTATTTCCTCACGTTGAATGCCTTACATACTGTTTTCCATCTCCAGCTCATGAAAAGTTAACTCTGCGCAGGTAACAAAGCCCTTTGTGTAAATAACTACAGTCTGCATGCTCTCTGCTATTGCTGGGCAGAGTTCAGTGAGCTTGCAAAGCAACCATGCTATTTGCAATGAGGCATCAGTCGCTGGTGGGAGAAGTCTTCCATGGAGGTGAGAATGGATTTAATTGTGGAGCCTCACCAGTCAGTGTTATGTTAATGACCTAATGTTAGAGCAATTCCACAAAGAGTTTGCACATTTCGATAGGCTTTGGTGATGAGTCAAGCTGTGATTTTATTTCTAGTCTGTTTTCCATGCACCTGATCCTGGTTTTTTCCAAGGCCTATGATACCAGATTATAAGACATTCCTTTCTAGCAAAACTTAGACTGAAGCTTAGAAAGAAAGGATTGAAGAGCTCTTTGTGAGATAGATGCACATAGGCAGTGAAGAACTTCACGTAGAGGTAGGAAGTTGTCCCAAAATGGGGTATTCTTTTGTCTTCATGGGTTTTTTTAATAAGTGTCAGATGGGTGATGAGCAGAGGGACTACTCAACAGTCAGGGAAGAAAAGTTTCTAAGCAAAAGGTAGAAAGTGTATTAGTGAGTATTGATGGATTTGTGCCTGCTGATTTCTCTTTCAAGCTTGACACTGAACAACATCCTTTGATGTTTTCTGGCACCTATGTTATGAAAGTGAAAAGCTGTTTCTTCATCATCTCCATGTTACTGAAGATTTAACTTTTTTTCCTGTGATGTTTTTCGTCAGTCATCTTTTCCGGAGACTCAGGGCCTCTAAGGTGTTTAAAAGCAAGTATTTCAGCCTAAATTCCTGACCGACAGGTATAACTGGCAGACTGTAGTGTTATGGAAAACTTAAGTAAAAATGCAAGTAGAAGGCTATAATATGTTACTTGTTTTATTAAAGGAAAGTTCACTTTCATTGTTGTATGTGCTGGATATAAGAAGTTTTTTGTGTGTGTGTATATATATTCAGATGCTTAGTATTACATTTCCAATAGTTTGCTATTTTCTAAATGAAATTGATCCACGTGGATCAGTTTGTATTTGATTTCCACATTTTTTAACTCCCAGTTGTAGTTTCAGCCCTGTGTAAGCTGTTTGTTGAAGTGAGCTAATTAAATACATTCAAAGAAAGGAGGCTTGCTCTGGGAAAGTGTTCTTTCTGCCCTGAAAAAAAAAAGTTTCAGTAGTCAAGAGCTGATTTTTAATTCTTCAGCCGCATTTCCTTGTGCTTAGACTGATGGTACGAAAATAGCAGAATTCTTCCAGCGCACATTTGCAGAACCTGTTGCAAAAAAAGGAAAGCTTAGGATTTAAAGTCAGTGTTTCAGACTTGTGCATTTTTAATGAAAGGAAGATGGAAGGGGAGAAAAAAAAGGTATCTTTCTTCAACAAAGTAAATTGTCCAGCGCTGGGAGAATTCTGTGTGTTTCTGGAGTAGGTTGCGCAGACTTGGGAAGTGGATGGTGGTGAAGGGATGTTGAAGCTTGAGGTTCATACTCTGTCATGTGGATGTTCACCCTGGAGTGGAAGCTTCTGGTCTGGCCAGAGGGCTAACCCAGATGAGCTGCTCAGGAGTGGAGGCATTGTTCTCTGGAGCACATAAACCTCCGAACAAATGGAATATTTATATAAAGATAATAACTTGTTTAACTCTGTAACTCTTCTCAGCTAATTTATCTCAGTGGCTGTGAGTCAGGAGCAGGAGTGGCTTGCTTTGTGAGGGCTGTGGTGGTTTGATGTCACACTGCAGAGATTTCTCAGCTGCTTACGAAGAAACACTTACAAATTACAGACTAGTGTATTAAGAAAATAGGCACTAATTCCAGTCATTTCTGTACACAGACAGGAGTCTACCGGAGGGTTGGGCAGGCAGCTGGGAGAGCCAATTATATCAGCTATCGTTAGCAGATTGCTATTAGACTAGGGCTAATATTCATATTGCAGCAAGCAGTATTTCAGTAAGAGCAATCTCATCTGACTATTACATTGCACATTCATTCTTGATTTTTTAGACATAATCTTCCAGAATTACGTTATTGAAGTCTGTTACCTGGGTTAATAGACGCCTAAATACTGTCATCGTCTTTAAGAAGAATGTGTTACTACTAGTGCGTGTTGTAGGATAGATTTGCTTCATAAGAATAAAATCCAATTTTTCACATGCTGATAGTGGCAAGTTTCTTTTTTATATTGTGCTTAAAAAGAAAAAAAAAAAAGAGTTGAAGCTAGACTGCATTTACACAAGGGCATTTGAAAATAAGTGTTTTCTTAGGCTGCTAGACTGACATGATCCAATTTTGTCATGAACACAAGGAGTGCTCAGCATCTTTTGCATTTGGGAGTGAAAATTGGCCTCTCCCCTTCCTTTCTGAGCTTCTTCAGATGTTTTGTTATGTTAAACAGTGCAAAGAATGACAGGCTTTCTCTGTGGTGCTGCTTAAATTTACCTTTTTGTTTGTGTTCAACTTTAATTTATTCTTTCAAGTTTGTGCCCAAGGGTGGGAGGTACAAAGATGTGGAAATTAATAATGAGATTTAGGGGTTGCCTGGGTAAAAGGGTTGCGTTTTTGCCTTGAAATCAAAGCAAAGCATTGGTCTTACTGTTTTCATGTGGCTTGGTGTAGGTTAGTCAAGTCCAAGTAATGAGAAACTAGATCCTTTAGTGTTGCGCATTGTCTGCATATGGACTTGTTTAAGGAGGCTTGCCAAAGCAAAACTGCAGCCTATGTTCATCGTTGATCGCCAATATACTGCTTAAACCAATAGAAGCATTTCTGAAAAGCTTCTTTTCCTTCTCTGCAGTTTATGTAACCCAACAATTTTTTGGTATTTCTTTGAAAGGTTATCCGCCCCTTTCTTTATGTTTTACTGCTTTGCCTAGAAAATGATTATTGAAGAACCGTCCGTTTTCTCTAGCTGTTTGTAATGTATCTGTGTTTTTCTTCTAGAGCCACCTGTTTTCTCCTTTTATCATTCCATATGTGACATAAAACATTACATACCAATTTGGGTTTGTTACAGGATGCTGGTGTATTTGCGCTTCTTAAAGTGCAAGGTGGCGAAAGCGTTCAACACCTTAAGAGGAACCCGACATCTTGCAGAATTACATTTTCCCTCCCTCCCCACCAGTCAGTAGGTTTTAGTGTAGTAGTTGAGTAGTTTACTAAGTATTCTTAAAATCTGAAACAATTGGGAAAACAAACCTTGTTTCTATCTTCTTTTCGTCAGCAACCTGCTATGTAGGCTGATTACATCTTCCGCTGCTACTGTGTTTGAAAGAGATTTACACATTTTAAAAAAGTAAAAAATAGAAGTCGCTGGTTTAGACTGTGTATCGACAGTGACTTGCTTAATTTGATACGATTTTTTGAAGCTACCTATGCCCAAAGCACGCTTTGAAAAAAACCCTAGACTATCTGGATAAGGTACTATTTTAATATAAGCTCCGTCTAAGTTAGTGCTGCTGCAGTCTTGCCCTCCACATGGAGTGCTCCTGAGCACCCTCGCTAGTTCAGGGAGTTAAACTGACTGAGGAGTGTTCCCCCACTTTTTTTTTCTCCCCGCATAGTGCCAGCTTGACTCCTTGAACTTTGGCTTGCTGAAGGTTTAAATAAGGAACATTGCAAGGCAGGTATAAGTATGCATGTCTGAAGAAAAAAGGTGAAATGCGGAATTAAAGCAATTCTGAGTTAGACTTAAAGGAGCCTAAAGTGTTTTCTGCAAACTTCTTAACCATTTTTAATGTCTACTCCAGAGAGAGTTAATAATAGCACTTAATCAGTCTGGAGATCTAAGCAGTGAGGAGGCACCATTTCATCGTGTGTAAAAAGGTATGTAGATAACAAGGAACAGAGTATCTGATTGAGTAGAGGTAGCTCACAGCCAATACTCAGTGAACATAACTGAACCTGTTTGACAGTGAAGATAGCTGAACCCGTTTGACATTTCACCGAGGCTGATCATTGCTCTCTTGAGCCAAACTTGTGGGAAGAGAGGTGTAGGATGTGATCTGCCCAGCATGTTTGCAGCAGTATACTCGTCCTCTGTCTTCAGCAGCACAGGGCTTTTGGAGCCTGGCAGGCTGTGCCGTGGTTTTTCTTGGTGAGAATTTAACCTGTGCAACCCATGTGGTGTTGAGAAAAGCATACCTTATCTTGGCTAAAATCTACTAACTGTAGAAGTCTGGAGTCTACCTGCTGTGGAGCTCTTGAGCACGCACGGTGCTGCAGCATTGCCCAATTTCTGTGGGTATGGGGCAATTTTCTCTTCCTCTAGGTGGAAGACTTGCAAAATGGAGAAAGCCCAGGAATGCGGCGAGCGAAGCGATGGCAGCCTGCGTCAAGAATGCTCAGATCATGCAACCGATCAGTGAGCTACGGCTCTGGCTTTCGCTGCTGTTTGCCGCAGTGCCCTGCAGGATTCCTTACCTGCACATACCTTCGCAGTGCCCTCCCTTACGGCTGGGATGTGGTGCAGCTCCCGGCGTCGCTGGTGATCGGCACCTGGGCTCCTTTGTCAGGCAGAACACACCTTCCTGCCTGGCTGCCTGCCCGGAGCACAGGCGAGGTGCTTTTTTTGACTGGCAGGTTCAACTGCAATTTTTTTTGTGTATTTTGCTGGCTTGATTGAGATAAATTATATAGACAAGGTGCTTCAGGAATTCAGGATTGAGGTGGGGGTGGCAGCGAGGGGATGAAAAATTCGGGATGGAAGGATGGTCCAGAAGCAAAACTATACTGTGGCAGATTGGAAGTAGGGAGATGGGAGGTTGCTTGTTTGGTGTGGACACAGGTTCTTAGCTGTGATGGCAAATTGAATTTTGTTTGTAGTTCGTTGTTGGGAAAAGATGTGCTATAGAGGAAATGTTTTAATTGTTAAACTTAAAAGGAAAAAATACCATACAGTATTGAAACACTGACACTTCCCAAGTATGTATCTATCAGTTTCAGGGTTTGAGAAAGCATTTATCCAAATTCATAGGAAAAAAAAAAAAAAATCTAGTGAGATGCTGTTGGAAGATACTACCTATTAGTTTAGGAAGTTTGTGGTCCACAAACACTAGAAGCATGGAAAATCTACTGGTCTAAGTGTCACTGTGTATTTACTTCGGTTTTATATTCTTCCATATGCATTTTCTGTAGACCCCTGATAGAAATGGGATACTAAGCCAAGCAATGTTCTGCCTTTTTTGAGTTAAGAGCTATACTACAAAACCTTTAAAATTATTTTTATATGCCAGTCTTTTAATGAGAGTATAATTTTTTGAAGCAATAAAACTTGACATTGATTCTCATGCTGCTCTTACATGATGCTGTTTAAATTCATATAATTAGCATCATCTGTTAGTGTTTAGCTTTTTCTGGCAGTACAGGCATTAAAACATTAGTGGTCTGTATAATCAAATTACTCAGTGTTGTACCACTATTAAAACTTAAAGATTTGATTGATCTTCTGTAGGGTAATTTGGTTTTGTACACCTTTAGATATTATTGCACGTCAAGATATATATGCTTGACAGCTGCAATTAGGATTGCCTTTTACATTGCTGTTATAAAGGCTGGTTTTTATAACAGGCAGTTTTACTGCTGTGTACCCATTTGATTTCTATGACCAGTTTCTTTACGAAATTTATATTAAATCAAGGATTATCACCTTGAAAATCTCATGGTGTTACAAGGTCTGAAATGTTGTTTTTGTGAACCTCTAACTGCTGGTGTGACCATTTATCAGCAAGAGAAGGTTTTCTTTATTCCAAAAGCAGTTTCATTGCTCCAGTTTAATTGTTTCAACTGCTAATCCTTTTGTCCTCCTAAATTTTTTTTTTTTAATAACTTAATACTTACTGGGTTTGATTTGAGTACTTTAGTACGTTTATGCCCATAAAGCTTCCCATCTTCTTGATGGGATCTAATGGCAAGTGTCTGATAGTTGTGAGCTCTTCTCCACGCTCCTTCCATGTTGTCTAAATCCGAGGTACATTTCATGCACACAGTAAAAATTATCTGGGCAAGCTATTTTGGAAGTTTGCTGTTTCTTTTATGTGTTTTCAAAGTTTTATTTTGTTTCAAGGGGTTTGTTTGTGCTTCCCCTTCCTCCCTATTTTACTGGTGGATATGCTTTTGCATTTGCCATTTATTATTGAGTGGAAATATGGACAAATTGGATAAGAAAGGTTTAACTTTTTTTTATATACTGTCTCAGGCTGATTACATTAGCACTTAAGGCATCACCTGCATCTTTTTCTGGTCAAGATCTTGTTTGACAGCGTTTCTCCCTGGGATTACTTCGTTCTGTTGATTCCTTTCGTGCATCCAGTCTGTAGGGTTCTCCCCCTCGCCCCCCCCCCAGTATCTGTGACGATATACTCTTGGGTTTTGATTAAGTTTCAGGACGCTAATGAGCCAGCAGGGAGTAAAAGTGGTTATCAGCAACAAGAATGAAGAGGAATGTCTTGGCTGCATTTCTATATCTTGTGAAAACAAGGTGGATTAAACCACGTTCTGGAATAAGAGAATGCTTATCGCTTTGCACTGATCTGTGACCAGTTTTTGCACTAAATAGGAGGAATTATTGCTCTCAAGCTAATTCTCCCTTTCTTCAAATGTAGCTTGTCTACACAGTTCGACAGTTATCTTTGATTTTTTTTTTTCCTTAAAAAAACCCAAAACAACCAAACAAAAAACAACTTACATGATTCCCTAGATTCTTGGAATAACTTCAGGATGCCTTAAATGCTGTCATCTTGGAGTCACAGCCTCTCCAGTTTTCTTGACTTTCTAGCCATAATAAACATAACTCCATTATTTATGTTCCCAATTGTACTGTGAATACTTTAATTGAACTCAGTTCCCTCTGCGTAGGTCATGCTTGGAGTGTGCACCTGTGTCTGATTTGCTCAGTTGTTCTCTTAGCATGTCAATATATTAGAGTATTTAGACTAGATATAAGGATGAAATTTTTTACGATGAGGGTGGTAAAACACTGGCGCAGGTTGCCCAGAGAGGTGGTAGATGCCCCATCCCTGGGAACATTCAAGGCCAGGTTGGACGGGGCTCTGAGCAACCTGATCTAGTTGAAGATGCCCCTGCCCATGGCAGGGGGTTGGACTAGATGACCTTTAAAGGTCACTTCCAACCCAAACTATTCTATGATATTGTTGAGTCCGGATAGTGTTTAACTGGGAGCAATGGAGGAGAAGCTGTATGAGACGAGACAAAATGGTACTGATTACAAATACAGTATGGTTTTGTCCTGAGGATATGGAGCTGGGATTAATTTTACAGCTGCAGGGAAGGGGGTTAACTTGTAGTGCTTACTTTACTATTAATGCTAATGACACCCAGGGCAAGCTGTAGGGTCCTACCCCGTATTCAGTGTGACCTTGGAATGTGTGCCGCAAAAGATAATAGCAGCTTCAGTATTTTTAATATCAGAGTATGCGTCTTATTTAGGAAGATGCACCTTAGTGCTCTGTAGTGAATGGTTTTGTGGGTCTTTCAATTATCTAGGCTTATTTAAAAGTCCAGAAAGCAAAGGGTAGACATAAAATACTAATATTACTTGGTGTACAAATGTCATTCCTCCTCTCATTATGTGCTTTGTGTTATGATCCAATTACCTTGAAGTTAATATGTTAGTGCTTATATGTCTCAGCTCAAGAAGTGAGCTATTCCAGGAAGAATTACCTGCAGTTAATAAGCTGATAATCCAAAGCAGTTTGTTTTGAGTGTACACGGTTGTAAATAAAAGCAAAGCTGGACCCGTGATTCTCAGAAGCAGACAGGGATACATTCAGGAGAGTCCATAATGACTCTTTTGGAGGATTGTATGAAAAGTCATTTTTTCTTCCATTACATTCCAACTTTTACCTGTTTATTAGGCTGCGGCATCTCTCTGAAATTGTTGGTTTGTAAGAATTTGAAGCACTCTTTTTAATGCTGATGTGCATGAGCATTGATCTCCAAACCTGCAATTGAATTTATGGACTTGAGGAAGTATTTGCTTAAATATTCAAATACCAGTGGAGCTGGTGGTACTGGGAGTTGTTTGCTCTGGTGTGTTACTGCTGGTTCTGTTCTTCCCCGTCTTACTCTTTTCTTTCTCATTACAGGTCTTGATGCAGAGTTGTCTTACGTGAGGAATGATGTGGTTAATCACTATGCATTGTCCTTCAATCTCTTAATACCCAGCGAGACCAATAATCTTCACTTCAGCTGGCATGCTAAATCCAAGGTAAGCAGGCATAACTTCTGTGTTTGAATTCTTGATGCATGATCTGTATTGCTTAGCGAGTACCACTGTTATAATTCAATGGCTTTTTTTCTTTGCCAAAATTAACATATGCTAGGAGCAAAAGAATTATTTATATGATTGCAGGCAATAAGTTAAAATAATATGTATGCAAACTGTTCCTTTCTTGTTTTAGAAAGGTTAAGCACTTCTTTTGAAGTATTTTGTACTTCTTGCTTCTAGCAAGCTACATACACAAGCCACTGGATATGGAATCTCTTCTGGTGGTGCATTGAAGGGGCAGCCATGAACTGAAGCCTCTGGAAATCAAATGCAGAGCAATTATGTTTTAGAGATTCCTAGAAACATACATTTCGAGACAAGAAGACCCTATAAAAGTAGCATCTAGTATGTTATTACCGAGCACCAATTAAGTGGAAAGGGATTTTTATTTCACTTAACTGCCATGGCTGGAGCATGCAGCAACCGCTGTCATAAATTGGGGACAGTGCAAGCCAGCCCTTCTACTTGATATGCATTCCACTTTCACAGGCAGTTCAGTCACTTGCATTTGAATAGGACCTTGGAAGGAGTTTCCTTGTTGTTACAACTTCAGCTATGAGCTACCTGCATCACTGTCCCTGCCCTGAGTTTTCTTGGGCCTGTCTGTGAATTTTGAATAGGAATTTTTGAGCTTGTGTAGCCCTGTTTCCATTACTGTGATTGCACTGCTCGGCGTCTTCTGTGCTAACTTTGCAGGATGGGTGTAGTGCAGTTTATAGGAACTCAGAAACTGGGTTATGTTTCTACCCTTGGCATCTTGACTGAAAAATAAATTGATAACGTAAATGTATCCTATTATGTTTTAAAAAGGGAAAAAATAAGAAACTAATGGGGCAAACAAAGTCAAACCAAATTCATTCAACTGCGTGTGGAGGGATAGGATGAATTTCCAACAGGAGCTTATGACTTAGTTACAATAGGTCCTGTACTTTTTTGAATGAATATTCGCAGAATCAGCTTCTTAAGTGGAAGCAAAATCTTGACTATAGTTGAATAAACTTTGTAAGCAATTTTGGCTGTGTAGTTTATAAACTGACTAGAGGAGGGGGAGTTTTTTGAATTTGTTCGGTTTTAACAAGCCGGCTTTTGAACAAGTAAGTTTAAAAGTATCGGCAAGTGAGGTTTGTGGTGTGGTGTGGGTTTTTTTTGGTTTGTTTTTTTTTTTTTAATACAGCACTTTAAATTCTGCCCCAAATTTTCAAGAATGATTTCAAGAGTGGCTTCTGTTTCGGCTTTCTTAATTTGAACTGTCACAGAAGTCTGATATTTAGACTTTATAAAAGAAACCTTGAATTTGGACACCTAAAATCACCAACATTCTTTGAAAATAAGATACAGTTTTTTAATTTCAAGAATTACAAAAAGGTATGTAGCATTTCTTTTTACTGTAGAGATTTCTTACATGTTTTCCATCTCCCAACTATTGTTACAGGTTGAGTATAAACTGGGATTTCAGGTAGATAATCCCATGGCTATGGCTATGCCCCAGGCCAACATTTCTCTACAAGGAGAAGTTCCTCGCACCCTTTCAGGTAAACTCCCCACCCCCTGAAAGTGCACAGCTAGTGCTCATACTAATAATGCTTTCTGGTGGTACTTTGTTTTTTCCAAAATGTGTATAGTGTTGCGTAAGAGCATCATTTTTCTCTATTAAACATAATGTGTTTATAGACCTGCTGCAACAGTTATGACATTGCTAAAAGGGTATTACAGATTGAGACTATTGGTCTGAAAGTAATATTTTTTTCCCCTTGTTTAGTGGAGGATAGAGATTTTCCTGGAAAGGAAACATGATGTTTTTTACGTGTATGTACACGCACAAGGTTCCTGTTCCCTTTCAACACTAATCATTAGCAATTGCATGGATTTTAAAATCCACGCCTTTTAATTTCTCTAGCCTATAGAGATGACATTTCAAGATCTGTGGAAGTTGTTAATACATTAAAGTATTTATGGTAAGTTTTAAAACTGAGAAGACTCTTTTGAATACATATTAGCTCCTCCATAGAATTTATACTAGAAACAATTTTATTTGTTTCAGGAAATGTGCAAGTGATAATCATTCCTTGCTCATTCAGCTATGGTTCTTTGTACTCTGTTAGATATTCCAAGGGCAATAAAATATACATTGATGTTTTGGTTTTGTACCATTTTTTTGTGAAAGCAGATGCTGGAGAATTAGGCTTGTTCTGTCTGCTTTGTTGGCATAAATAATACTGGTATATAAGCTAGAAAGTAAATAGTTCATATTAGTTTAAGCTTTGATGCCAGTCAGATTTGCAGAGACCAAAATACTTAATGGTTGTGAAAAAAGCTAGCCTTCATAGCATTTGAAAAAGCAATGAGGAAAACTAGATTTTCTGGAGGTTTGTCTTGTGACAGCACTTTAACTACAATGCTAACAGATGGCTAATGGTCACTTATCCACAGATACAATTTTAGTAATCTGTAAACTTTTAATATAACTCACATAAATGCATTTAAAATCTATGCCCTTTAATGTGTTAATAGTTGTCTGAAATTACAAGGCATAAAGGCTAAAATAGCATTTCTTAATAGCAAGTTCTTTAAAAATGTACATTATAAACATCACTTAAAAAGACCCTTATCATTTAAATAGTCTTTCATGACAATGTCTGAGAAGTGCTCAAGCTTAACTGTAATGCCTATTTGTTGTCTGTTTGCAGTGTTTCGTGTCGAACTCTCCTGCACTGGCAGACTCGACTCTGAGGTCACAATATTAATGCAGCTCAACTTGACAATAAATTCATCTAAAAACATCACAGTTTTAAATTTCAAACGAAGGAAAATGTGCTACAGAAGTAAGACATTAAGTTTCAAATATGAAAAAGCTTTTAGTGTTAAAGTATGATAGGAAAAAGGAGTGGGAAGGGATATGATCCAGGACATGAGTAACAGTCCCCGAGAGTGAATGTTGGAGAGGATAGGAAGAAGTCAGGTAAAATTTTGCCTTTCAGAGACGAATGGGGACTTTTGGTAAAAGCAGAAGCTGATGGATGAACAAATTCCCCAAGTGTTTTGCTGCATTGACTGACCTTTTTACATACATAGCAAAAAGCATTTTCTCTGTTGTGCTTGGAAGGAAGAAACTATTTTCCTCAAAACTGCAGCACTCTGAATATTCAAATTGTTCTAAGAATTACCAACAAAATCTACTTAGTTTATAAATTGTGATAAACTTAAAATTGGCTATTTAGTGAATGTAAGCAGCTGTTAGTCTTTCAGACTTGGAGTACAAAATGATCTTGGTAGATAATGCAGACTTCATAAATCCCAGATTGACTCTTCTTGTTTTGAGTTGGGAATCTAGAAGCACAGTTTGTTCTTGGATTGTTACTATCTCCTGTTGCTGCTTCCTAGAAGTATTTTCATAGGCATCAGAAGAAAATTATTTTGGAGAATCCCAAGAACTGTATCCTCCTTAAAAATGCTGTCCTGTTCTCAGGCAGTGTTTGAGGATGGCCACCTCTCTATTTACATGGTCCTCCTGGCACTGTTCAGTTTAATTGGAGCCTTTGAGGACAGTAGTTGGCTTTTCAGAGGGGAGTTTGTCACTTCTCTTGAGTATGAATGTCTAAGGATGAACTTCTGGAAGGTGTGGGTGAAAGAGCTAGCATGGCTTTTTGGCACATAATGTTGTGATACTTAATGTTCCTTGCACTGATGTTACGGGAAGATCATTCTTAATTTGAAATGTATCTCTCTTTCTAGTGAAAATGGAGGTCTGGCTGATAATGTTGACATTTTTACCTTTATTTCATATTTTCCTAGGTACTTTTTCAAATGTTCTAAGTGGGGAAGTCCGCACTGCTTATGCATTCATAGTTTATTGAGCTATTGAATGGGGAGAGGAGGTTTCTATAGGCGCTACACTGTTATCAGGGTGTGTGAGATAGGGCCACTTCCTAAATTATGCAGAAGTGATTCTTACAAAGATCACGTTTCTGTGGGTTCATAAAAGTGTCAGTGACTTTTTTTGATGTGTGTTGATTGGTATAGAGCATCTGGGGATTTCTGATTTGATTTAGTACAAAAGTTAAAAATATGCAGGAACTTGCTAGCGGTTTTGCTTAAGGCATTCGTAATAGTTCCTCCTAAAGTGTAAAAAAGCGGGGGGGTGGTGTGGAAAAAAAAGAAAAACTCTCAGATTTCCCCTCCCCTGGATTACTTTTTCACAAGTTTATCAGGCTGAACTGGCTTACCAAGGAGTCGGAAGGGGCTGTGCCAGGGAGGAGGCAGCTCCTCACAACTGGGAGCAGGAAGGGGGATGTGCAAATGGAACTGCGCCTTTGCAGCCACAGAAATCCATTATATTGCTTTAACTGCGTGCGAATCCTCAGTGAGGTTCATCTGAAGTCATCTCCACAACCTGCATTCCCTTGATTTGCACTATTCCTCTTAGTGACCAGACTCATAGTAAGCTTAATGAAGATTTATCTAAAGGACTACTTTCACACAGGAACCTGAGTATTGTCCTTGTGCCTTTTGTTCCATATTTATAAGTCTTTAAATAGGCATTACCTTTTTCATCCTTCAGTTTTAAAACACTCATGACTGTAGTATCAGCTGAGAAGGCACATTGCCCGTGGCTGCATCTCTAACTTCTTCCTAGGAAGAGTAGCATTAGACTGGAGCCAGAATTTCTTCCAAAAGGTCAGGGTAGTATTGATTGAACATTCAAGAAATTATTTTCTATCCTGTAGTAACAGATTCTGTGAGGTCTTTGTTGTTTAGTGTCCTAGCATACGCTCACATACTCTGCACCTCCTCTTTCTACTGTCTGCTGCTTTGGACTTTGGTGGACAAGCCAGAGGGTTTTTTTGAGGTAGATAGATTCAGTGGGTTCAAGCATGGCCTCAATGAACATGTGTATCAGCGGTGAAATGTATCTGACCCATGTATTTTTATTATACAGTGGTTAGGTATTTAAAATGGAAATCTAGAGATAACTATAGTTTTTAAGTCAGCTCACCTATTTGGAAAAGCAGATTTGTTTTTCCGTAAATGAGGCAATTGACTTCCTGTGAAGGGCTACAATAATAAATGTATACCAAATTTAATGGTCTTCTCTCATCTCTCGTGTTTAGAGCTTGAACCAGAAGTAAAATCTCCAACATCTGATAAAAACAGCAGCAAGGCTATCTGTAAGTAATTCTGAGTGTACGTCTTACTTCGGTTGTAAAAAAAAAAAAACTGAAAAACTTGTGATGTCCTTTCTGTTTACAGAAAGTTCACAGCTTTCCCTATGAAAACGCTCCCCAGGTAGTCTGTACTATACCCAGTGTTTTAATGGGATTTTTTTTTCTAATTAATTATTTTAACTGGGAATATATACTAGTGAAGAGGAAAAAATCCTATTCCAAGTCTCCTAACAACTTTTTTTGTCATGTCTTAGGGGCTCTGGTTTCTGTACATGACTCTGATCTATTTTCTTGATTTTTAGGACCTGTCTGGTTTGCTGTTTTAACTTGTTGGTATTGAATGAATAGGATGAGGTAGTTTCTTTTACTCCTCTTCTAGCTGGAAATATCATCGACTGACTCTGCTCAACCTCTGTAGTACTCAAAATGTAAACATTTTTGCCAAAATGCTTTTGGAAAGCAGTGGAGTGCATTGCTCAGTTTTCTCTTTACCACCCGCTGTCTCTTCCAGGGCAATTGTTCTCCACAATGTGTGATTTAAAACTGGGGATAGCTAGGGCTCCTGCCCCTTCCTCCAGTTCTTCTACCCATGTTGCTGTTTAGCACCAGCTGAAGGCCAGCCCAGCAGACAGCCCTCTGCTGCCAAGGTGCAACTGCAGAATTTTGCCATAAAACTGCAGTTGAGATTCTTTTGAGAAAGAGGATTAACTGCCCTGTTAACACTGCTGCGTTAGGATTCAGGTCAGGGGGCCGTAATCCACCCATCATACCCTGAAATCAGGAGGAGAAGCTGAAGTTGTGTGCTCTGGCACATTCGGTCAGTGAGTAAGCACCACTATCACACTGCACCTAGGTATAGGTCTCATTTTATTTACTGTATTGGTGTGTGACCTGGTGTGCAGGTGACTCCTGCTCTTCCAGCCCCAACTAGCAAGTCTATGCCTTGGGGCTCAGCTGAGCTGGAGGCCGAGTTTGCCCATGCTCCTGCTGTGTTTGCAGCATGGGAGGCCATGGAGGAGGATCGAGGGGTTGTGCGAGGTAGAACCAGGAGGACCAACAAGACCATTTTAGGAGGTTCCTGGCTAGGTTTTATCCTTCGGTAGGAACCCTCCTTTTGTCCCAGTAAATAAATGGAGGCATCGAGTGGCTTTCTGGGCCCTGCCCTGCTTTGCTGCAGCAGGAACTGTCGTGCCCACTCTTCTGGGGGTTACCATGGTCTGCCTCTGCGGGCTGGCTGCTGCTCCCTGCTCCTGCCAGACCTGGGTGGCAGGGCACCGGGGGCGAGTCTGGGGACAGCAGCACTGCCCTCCTGACATGTCAGCCTGCTGGGAACTAACAAAATGTAGTTTGTTGTGGGGTTTGTTGGGGGGTTTTTGTTTTCTTTTTTTTTTTTTTTTTTTGGTTTGGGTTTTTTGAGAAAGGTTCAGTAACTTTTCACCTTTCTATTTCAGTCGATCCTGTAAACGCAGCTCCCACCACTTCTACCCGTGTGTTTTATATCAGTGTAGGTGTGTGCTGTGCTGTTATATTCCTGGTGGCAATAATATTAGCTGTCTTGCATCTCCACAGCATGAAAAGGATAGAGTTGGATGACAGGTATGTATTCAAGCTTTTCAAGTGCATTTCTGGGACACATTTACTGAGATTTGTGGGCCTTCTGGTCTCAAAATGGGCACTCTGTAGTAACTTGCAATTTCTGCTCGTGATGTCAAGCTGTAACAATTACTACCTGTGCAGAGTTGTGGTAAGTGCTATACTGCAGAAAGGCTGCAGTTGCAGGTGCTCTGCTGTTTATGGGGTGGGAGGATTGTGGCTGTTGGGTTTTTGCCAGAGTAGTTGTGTGGAGGACACACAGTGGGGAAATTTGGACAGCATCAGATCTACAGGGATTGTCAGGATTGAAGGAAAACTTGATAGATACCTGGGCATGCTGAAAATACTTGTTTTTTACTGACTTCTGCAGGAGATTGAATTTCAGTTTTCTCTATTTTGATTGATTTACCAGTATTCGCTTTGGCCTTAGGGTAAAGTCTGGGGATTACAACTTTGGTTATAAAGCTGAAAATGGGCTCGTTCTCAAATGCATTTTCAATCCAGAAAAACCAAATTGGCACGTGCATGTGAAAAGGACTTGTAATGTGAACCCAAGGGCAGTACGGTCAGCTGAGCGGGGATTAAACACTGAGGCGGAAGGGAGGCTGAAGGAGCAGGTGGACTGAGGCTCTGCTGAGGCTGTGTGAACAAGCTGCATCAGATGCAACTGTTCAGAAGCAGGCAGTTTTGAAACTGAATACTCTGGAAAACAGTCGGGCCCGTGGGTGGTCACCCCAGTTGAAAGGATATCTTGAACTGTTTCTGTTCCTGCCTGCAGCCTCTCAGAGTAGCTCTGTCTTTTCATCTTCCTCTCTATCCATTCATCTGTTTCTTTCTGTTTTTCTTTCTGCCATTTATTCCTCTGGTGTCCCAGACCACTTGGTTTTTAGGGGGTGTCAGTGTAGTAAGTAGTAATGGTTTCTCAAGGCCTCATTATCTAACCAAAAGACTTGTCAGCTTTCCTCAATTCGTTTGTGCCTAATTGTCTACTGAGGGTTTTTAATCAATAGAAGGTGTTAAAAGGATGTGCAGCTTGCTTTAATTCAAAAAGGAAAAGCATTACATACAGAGTGCGTAAATAGTGTCATCTACAAGAGACTGTCTCAGCCTAGCAGTGTGATCAAATTTCCTTTCATCCACTCCATTGTACTTGATTTCTGTGGAGATACAAGCTAAAAATTAATCTCATGTTAATACTCTGTGGTTTGCAGGTATTAAAGAATTTGCTCTAAATCAGTATATGGCTTTCTGATAATTTCTGTGAAGTTTGTGCAGATAGTGGGATTTAGTTCTTCAGAGAGCCATGTGATGACTTATTTTATGAGCCTGAGGGTGCCTGAGCTGACAAAACTTTGGATGGGCTTCTGGATAACAGCTCTGGTCAACTAGTATGGTAGCAGAGGTGTAACAGAGAGGCAAAATGTGCCTGAAAATCAGGATCTGCGGAGTGTGTTTTCAGAACGGGCAGCGTGCACAGGAGCCAGCAAAGAGACTGTGAGGTGATGTTTCAGTGCTTGGCTGAGAAACTGGTTCAGTGTTATAATTGAGCCCCGATGTTACGCACTAGCATTCCGTATGATCAGTGACTGCTTGATGTAGCAACTAGCCAAGGAACTCGTGAGACAAGAAACAAGTTTTGCTTTGGTTTCGAATAACAAGCTCAAAACGCTGCTGTAAAGGGGTTCTGAATCAAAGATGATAACGTCATTATGATTAACGACCTCCCAGGAGCAACAGAGGCTGTTGCTCTTAATTTCAAAAACCAGAACTAAATAAAAATGAGGAAGGTTGTTAAACAGAAGCTAAAACCAGGCAGCTGAGTTTAAGGCTGCACATGGACTATTTAAGAACATTGTATTGAAAGTTCAGAGCAAATGCTTGCATACCTCCTATCAAAGGCACTTGAAAAAGTGCCAAGGAAAGTTGGCATGGCTTAACAGCAGGATAATGGAGGTTATTAAAAGCAAGAAGGCATTGGTGAAAAAGCTGACGTAGTATGCAAGTGAGAAAACTAAGAAAGCTCATAAACATGAGCAAGTTAAACCTGAAAACCAGAATGAAGTCAACCAAAAACGTAGTTTTTCAAACTTGCAGTAGGCATAAAAAGAATAATTCCTTTTTCAAACTTTCTTGCAGCAGGAAGCCAGCCAAAGGAATCTGTAGAGCTAGTAGGTGATCAAGTTACAAAAGGAGTTTCCAGCCATAGCAGGAAAATGAAATTCAAGTTCCCCATCAGTGTTTAATGCAGTGACCATGCCAGGACGCTTCTTTCCGGGGAACTTGCTGGAGGATGGATCATATTGAAGCAGCTTGTAGATGCAATAGTGCAAACAGTTAAAATGAGCAGTAATAAGTTGCCAGCACCAGAGAATATTCATTCAAAAACTCTAAAGGAAGTTAAAGTGGAGTAGGTAGGCCACCAATGGTGGCTTTTAACCTCATGCTAAAAACTATGCTGAAACCCTACACCTGGAAGACAGTGAATGTGGGAATAACTTTTAAAAAGGTTTCCAGAGATCAAGGCCAGCTATAAATCAGTAAGCCTGATGTTTGTATTGTGAGAATTAGTAGATTCTGTTCTAAAGAAAAAATTCAGTAGGTGCATCTATGATTACAGGATAATGGGGAAGTGTTGATGTGGCTTTCTTTTTTTTAAAGGAAGTCTTGCTTCAAAACTAACAGCTGTCCTTGAGGGCATCACCAAGCATGTCTAAAAATCCTGCAAGGATGGCTAGCACTGCTTGGTCAGTGCTCAGTAACAGCCCAAGAAGCAAATGGAATGTTGATTATTTGGCAAGGCAGAGGGTTATACCCAAAACCAATCTCTTCTTTGTTTTCCCGATACAGTCAGCAGAAGTGGAGAAGCTTTTAAGTTTCAAAAAAGGGGGGATGTTTGTGTGTGTTTGGGAGGGAGATCAAAAAAGCTTCTTCCGGCCCTGTCATCTGAGCTAGTAACAGGTACTGCCTTTGCCTGCTTTCTCACCTGTTCTTACGCCATTACTGCCACAACAACTCCTTTTGTAGGATTTTCTCTATGAGGATAAGACAGAAAACATCCTGCTACGGTTAAGCTATGGTTTGCCTGGCTCTTGAATGCTACATGCAGCTATGGTCCTTCTACCCAAAGAAAATATCTCAAAAGCACATTGTAGGTGGCCCTGGAAGGGACAACAAGTATCCTTAGAGAGAGGAATGACAAAGTAGACTAGGGCAGTTTGGTCTGTAAAAGAGAGCTGAGACAGGGACAGTGGTACAGGGCAAGCAACTGTTTGCAGCAGTGAACTAGGGAATATCTTTTTGATATTTGCTCCTGCCCAGGAACTAAAGGGCAGCAGATAGAGCTAGCAGCTGGCATGCCCAGAGCAAGCAAGACGAGATCACTCTGGCTGAAAAAGCTAGATAAGCTTTGCAGGGTGTTATTTGGCTCAGGCTACTGCTTTCAAACTTTTATAGTTGTTGATTCTCAGTGGGATGTTGGTACCACGAAACAAATGCTTACAAGTCTTCTCTGGAATATAATAGTTTTGTTGTTTCTGGTATGACAGGGTGGTTCTTGCAATAAATGTTTTGTCACCTTGATTTTTCAAAAGTGGGGGAAAAAGTGCTGGAAAATAGAGCAAATTCTGCAAAACAAATAGGAGGAAGTTGTTCACACTCAAAGGACAGGAGGGCTAAGATTTTTTAATTACCTGACATACATTTTAATGTGTGAGAGACTTTAGAAATGCCATTCTTTCAAAGTCTAGCCTGGAAAATCTTTAACTTTGATATGTTAATTTTGAATTTATTACAGTGGCAAGCAGTCATGTTCCATGTCCATTTTTGTTTTAAAACAGCATTAGTGACAGCAGTAGCTCACAAGGTTTATCCCAACCTTCCACACAGACGACACAGTACTTGCGAGCTGACACGCCAAACAATGCAACGCCAGTAACCAGTAAGTGTTAATCTGATTACAGACCTTTGCAACAGACCCTCCTGGACACAGACAGAGTATTTGGTGGTAGGGGTCTCACCAATTAGTCTTTTCATCTTGTTGCTGCAACCTGCAAAGGAAATGAATGGGGAAGAAGCTTTACAAGGGTGTGAAATATTCGTGATTTCTTTTTGTTCACAGCTTTGCTTGAAAGAACATTAAATCGTTAAAAAGGGCAGTGAATTAAAAGGAAGCGTGGCAGTGTTTTATATAGTCTGCGATAGACTGATACTAGCTATGTTCTTATATGTTCACTAGCTGTGTATTAATTCTGTGTTACTGAAGGTATTTATTATCTACTCCTCCAATTATTGTCTGCCTTCTCTAGTGGAGGGATATCCCTCGAGCATCACTCCAGGGAAGGGACTGTTCAGACTGTAGGGAAGCTGGATGGTGTGAACGCTTCTTGTGCAGTTCCTTGGCAGTTCAGTCTCGTTGGGCTGACCATGGGCCTTTCCCCTGTGCTAGCACTTACGCTGCTAGGCTGCAAGACGATTCAGGGAACTGAGCCAGCCAAAAACTGACTTCTTTCATAAAGTGATGGGCTTTTGGTTGACTCGGTCTCTGAACTGGCTTGTAGCCTGGCTGTACGAGCACCAAGATTGGTGCTCGTGTATGGGTCTACATGACAGAGCATTGGAAGAAGGCAGGACTTAACCCAAACTCAGCTGGCTTAAGTTACTGCTGGAGAGCCTGCTTTAAAAGATCTAAAGTGAGGTAAGGGTTTATATTACAGAGTGAGAAAAATGGGGGAGCCCGTCAGAAGAACAAACTGTCTCTCTTTTAAACTCAAATTGCTGTTTTTCTCAATAGAAAGTGGGAACTGCCAAGCAGAAATAGTACCCTGGCACTCCTGACCTTTTCAGAAAGTGTAAATTAAATGGCTCCTGTTTTCATCTACTGCCACCAGTGATTTTCTCTTCCATAATGCTCAGTAGTTTTGTATTAACTGCCTGAAGAGACTTTGTTCAGCAATCTAATGAGTAGAAATGTCAATGTAGATCCATTATTTAGAGCTAGGTAAAAATAATGATTAATGACTTGATTTTTTTTTTTTTTTTTAAAGCAACCTATAAGACCCAAAAGTCTCTCCCATTTTCTTCTGATTGCACTTAGTAGTGATACAGACCATCCCAATTCATGAGGGAGCACTGCACAAATGTCATGATTGCTGTTCAGCCCTACTGTGTTTTCTTGTTTCCTCCCCATGTGTGGAAGCAAGTGTTTACCTAAGATGGAACTCCTGCAACTTCGGGAAAGTTTTGGAAGTTTTGGCTTTCTTCTAAATTGTACTATAGCTTCTTGAAAAAAAAAGGGATCTTTTTTGTCGTCTTGAGTTCATCTTTCCCTTGCAAAAAACTACCTTTAAAATTTATTTAGTAGAAGAATTAATTTTAAAATAAA